AGGTGTGGAAACTTGATGGGAAGGGCCCAAAGGTTTGGAGACTTTTAAAGCTGGTGGTGGAGGATTTGCGAGCTAGACAATGATCAGGTATCAGAGGCTAGGATTCAACTGTCTACGTATATCCTCTGGTGGCTTTGGAAATCCCGCAATATTTAGCAATTTGAGAACTTGTGGGTGTCGTCTCCTTTCATTGCTCAGGTTGTTGTCTGAATGGACAGAGTTTTTAGTAATTCAGGATCACTAGGCCTCATATTTTTATTTGTCTTGTCTTTAGCTAGTTTGATGGGTTTGGTTTAGGTCACCTGCGTGTGGTTCTCCTTCTGTTTCGGCTCTCGGTTTAATCCGGTTGTATTCAAACTTAGTGTTTGGTTTCTTTCGTTTAATGAGCATTTTTACCATTTTGGCAAGAAAAAAAATAAAAATAAAAATAAATAGTGAACTGATTAGACTGCTATTTAATTTATTAATATTTATATAATTATATGTACACTTTTTTTTTTTTCGGTACAAATAGGGTTTTACTAATTACCGCCCCCCTTATTACTAGTCACCGCCCCCCTTGGACGATTTTGCCCTTTTCATTTTTTGTCTCCGCAACATGTCCACAAGCTCAGAGGTAAAAAAAAAATTTGTCCGGCCAGCTTTACCTCACGGGACCGGCGGTGTCCGGCCGACCGGACCGGACAGTCACAAAGGCGTCCGGCCGGTTCGACCGGACAGCCCCGGTCGCGTGCGAAAATTGCGGCCGTACGAACCGGTCGCTGTACTAATCGACCGGTCGTACGGACCACATACTGTCCGGCCGCGACGACCGGTTAGACCCGGTTCGGCCGGTCCGACCGGCCGAACAGCATTTTTTTATTTTTTTATTATTTTTAAATGCTTTAACATTATTAAATATGTGTTACATTGCAGGTGTCTTTAGAAAATTTTGGAGGAGACGGTATTGATTACCGTTCCGCTTTCGATACAACTACGTTGTTTATTAGTGATGAGGAGGCTATTAAGGATGCAAAAAATACGGCAATTCTGAATGGTT